GGGGACACAAGACACAGAGCAAAACAAGAGGGTGAGGGACCAGTGAAAAGTTCACTGGGGAGGAAGGAAGGGTTGATTTTGTCTCTCAAACTTGGCTCCCAGTGACTATTCTTTCACCACGCACCCTTGCATTTGAGTTGCGCCGGTCATCGCCCAAACCGGGCTCGCGTACATCTCGGGGTGTCTGCACGTGGTTTCAGAATTTGCCCTGGGCCAATTCCAAATCACCATTCAATCAGGGTCACAATCTTATTCCCATTACCCACTCAGATTTCCTAGAGCCCAGTGTTGTGCTGGATGCAAGTGCTTGTGCAACAGACAGATTCTCCCTATCAGTTATGCGCACTTTCCAGAGACAGACAGAATTTTACCAGATTAGTATGACTGGTCTTGGTTCTATAGTGACCTGTAACAAAGGTTCAAATCCAGCTACCCAATGCGAGCAGGGAGCCTACGAGCAGTCCTCCTCCGACACCCCAATAGAGATTTAAAAGGCCTCTTACCTTTATTGGTGGCGCCGGGGTTTGGTGGGGAACGGATCACGGTCCTCCGAACACGTCGTTGGCTGTGGATCCGAGTCACAACACCATTTAATTGTCGTGGAAGAAACACGCTGTAGAATTTAGGATCAGGTCAGGTAGAAACTTTATTTTGATAGCTATTGGAGAGAGACCGTTAAAGGAAAGATTCCCTCTGGCTCTCTCTTTACAGCAAGGGCAATTAACCTTTTTATAGATTCAAGACAAACGGTTGCCTAAACTAGTTTTTCCCGCCTTGGGGCTATCTGTCTTGTGTCCTTCAAGACAGCTTTAATGGTCATCTTCCTCTTATCTAAGGAATTTCTCTCTCCCCCCTGAGGCCTCAGCCATTCTTTGCTTCCACACGGGGAGAGGGATTTAACGGTGGGGGTCTACTACAGACCCCCCAACCAAGGGGAGGAGCTGGACCGGGAATTTTCAGGCCAGCTTGCAGAGGCACTTAAGGCAAGGGATGTAGTTGTCATGGGTGATCTAAATTACCCGGACATCTTCTGGGAGAAGCAGTCAGCCAGGTTGGACCATTCTAGGAGGTTCCTGGCCGAGATACAGGACCTCCATTTAACCCAGGAGGTGCACAGTCCCACCAGAGGAAATGCCCTGTTGGACCTGGTCCTGGCCACAGGC